TCACATAAGTCTCGTACCACAAAACAAAGAACAAACATGCACAAAACCATGTGGGAACCAGAGGGTTAAATAGGGAAATAATATAATGTAATGGGAACCAGGTGTGTAAAATCAAGACAAAACAAATGGAAAAAGAAACGTAGATTGGTGGCAGCTAGAAAGCCGATGACGATGACCGCCGAACGCCGCCCGAATACAACAATCAGGATGCTCTATTCTTTCAATCAGGATGCTCTATTCTTTCAACGTTGAACACACAATGTATGTGTGTGTGTGTGTAATTGCATGTGTGTGTGTGTGTGTGTTTAAGTGCTCTCCCACCGTGAATCACTCAAATTTCCGTCGCTCTTATCTTGCTTTACAGCATCTGCAATTTCTGCTCTCTAGAATTACACAAATGTTAGTGTTCACTCTTCACGCTGTAAATGTAGCTGCTCCATGATACCGAAATATTAACGCTACTTAAGAGTTGGCATGTATAAATATTGATGCATGTTTGCATAAAGTATTCATAGATTATTTTTTCTACCCAAAGAGTACTCCATTTTTGATGAGAGACTATTTGCTTAACAAGTCATATAATAAGTTGCATGGACTCACTCTGTGTGCAATAATAGTGTTTAACATGATTTTTGAATTAGTATCTCATCTCTGTACCCCACGCATACAAATATATGTAAGGTCCCTCAGTTGAGCAGTGAATTCCAAGCACACATTCAACCACAAAGACCAGGGAGGTTTTCCAATGCCTCACAAAGAAGGGCATCTATTGGTAGATGGGTTAAAAAAAACAAAAAAACATTGAATATCCCTTTGAGCTTGATGAAGGTATTAATTACATTTTGGATGGTGTATCAATACACCCAGTCACTACAAAGATACAGGCGTCCTTCCTAAATCCGTTGCCGGAGAGGAAGGAAACCACTCAGGGATTTCACCAAGAGGCCAATGGTAACTTTAAAACAGTTACAGTGCCTTCAGAAAGTATTCATGCCCCTTGACTTATTCCACATTTTGTTCTGTTACTGCCTGAATTCAAAATGGATTACATTTATTCTTACCCATCTACACACAATACCCCATAATTACGAAGTGAAAACATGTTTTTAGAAATGTTTGCAAAATTATTGAAAATGAAATATTTGTACATTATTCTTTTCAGAATTCTTTAAGCTCTGTCAAATTCTTTGTTGATCATTGCTAGACAACCATTTTCAAGTCTTGTCATAGATTTTCAAGCAGATTTAAGTCAAAACTGTAACTCAGGAACATTCATTGTCTTCTTGGTAAGCAACTCCAGTGTAGATTTGGCCTTGTGTTTTAGATTATTGTCCTGCTGAAAGGTGGATTCATCTCCCAGTGTCTGGTGGAAAGCTAATTTTTTAATTTTGCCTGTGCTTAGCTCCATTCCGTTTCTTTTTTATCCTGAAAAACTCACCAGTCCTTAACGATTACAAGCATACCCATGTCATGATGCAGCCAGCACTATGCTTGAAAATATGGAGAATGGTACTCAGTAACGTGTTGTGTTGGATTTGCCCCAAACGTAACAGTTTGTATTCAGGACAAAAAGTGAATTACTTTGCCACATTTTGTGGAGTAATTACTTTAGTGCCTTGAATATTTTTATTCTGTACAGGCTTCCTTCTTTTCACTCTGTCAATTAGATTAGTATTGTGGAGTAACTACAATGTTGTTGATCCATCCTTAGTTCCTCCATCCCAAAGTATCCCTTTAATCCAAGACTTGTACTGTGGGTTACAGGGATCAGGTACCCTCGGTACCATTTCCAAAACACACATTCAAAAGCTTTAGAATTTTATTTTATTTGTTTCTACCGCGACACGTAAGTCTTTAATAAAGTATTAGAGGTAGGGTACTTCTTACCTTTCAGAATCACCTTTATTCGCTAAGTACATTTACCTGTACCAGGAATTTGACCTGGTAAAGTGGTGCTGACATCTCCTTACAATAAACAGATACACAGACAGATACAGACAGATACAGACAAAATAATTTACACAATGAATATGCCTTGAATTCCTGAATATGGATTGACAAATGGTATCTCTGTTGTTGTGTTGTGCAGGTTGTGGAGACGAACCTCGTGGCTTTCGACTGTCACTGGATCATCATCAATGAGGTCAGTGCGGAGGCAGCCAAGGCTACAGTGTTGCATGCTGGGTAGTAGTAGTGTTGTTATGTTTGGGGTGGGTATGCTAGCCATGGGCAGCTCATAGTTGTCTTCCGTGGTAAAAGAGTAGGGGTACTGCAGAACACTGAGAGAGGGGAGGGTGAATCATGAATGCATACAAACATACTCACAATTGAAATACCCCAAAATGCACACAAACATACATTTCACATGTTACTGCTGGAATATCATTTGAATCCCACTTCTAATAAAAAAATGGTTTCATGTTGAAAGGACAACAAGGGCCAGGTTTTCTCGTACTTTAATATGGATGAGGGCTTGTGGTTGTAATAATTCTCCTTTATCTATAACTTACCACACTGACATTTTTCGGAGGGAAAAGTGGAAGCATTCATAATTGATCATTCCCCTCCTATATACAGTATGTATGTGGGGACGTGGGGTATGGCATGAAAACAAGCTGGAATGCTCTGCCCTCTCTCTCGCTCTGTCTTTCTCTTCCTCCATCCCTCTCTCCCTCTCTCCCTTGCTCCCCTGCTGTGTGGCTTGTTCCACATGGTGGGGCGAATAAGGACAAATGCCAAAATACTGATCCAAATGAATACTGGCAAGTGAGAAAAAAAAAAAAAACACTTAAAGAGGAATTAAAATGGGGTCTGCCGATGACGGAGGGCTGTTTTTCCTCTGATAAAGTTGAGGCAGGAGGGATTTGGCTGCTGGGGGATGGGGAAGGTCCCCTGTAGTTTCCAGGATGGTTTGGAGGGAACTAGAGGGTGCGGCCCAACACTATCTCCTTTCTCCTGAAGTGTACACTCATTCACTACTTACAAAGCAGTGGATTGGTGGAGGCATGGGCTTGTGGGAGTTTATTTTCTTATACCAGTCATTTCCTTTCAAATCAGTGAAGGCAAGTGAACAAGTGCACACTTTGGGAGGAAGGAGATATAATATGTTGTTTTCAATAAAACTTCACAATACTTTCGCTGCTGTGGGGCAAGAAGACCCCCAGCTCCGCTAAAACCATTGACAACTACGTGCCGTTTTCAAGGGATTGTTAAATAAATGTTATAACTATTTGGTTTTAATATCATCACCTATTGAGCATAGTCAGAATCAATTGATGTTTACTGATCATGAAAAAAGCATGCAGTTACTTGCTGTATAACGCTGATGATCGAGCTAAATGTGTGCAATTGTTTTGCATGGAATAATCATACATTTGTAGGTCTGACTATGATATTACAACCAAATAGTTAACATTTATTTAACAATCCCTTGAAAACAGCACACAGTTGTCAATGGTTTTAGCGGAGCTGTGGGTCTCCTTGCCCCCAGCAGGCAAATTGAATTCTCTAACCTAATTGTTACGTTATTTTGAAAACAACCTACTGACCCATAGCCAGAGAGTCTCAGTCCCCCATGTTACATGGAAGGCCTGATCTTATCTTTCTAGGATAACACTGACTGTTGAAAGAGCCCAAATGTTTCTTCCACCAACCTGAATCCAGTTGGCTTACTTGTGAATCAGAATACCTTCACTGTGAATGAAAAGATGCCTTGGATACAGTAGGGATTCAAAGCTAAAGAACATGGCAGTAATACCAAACTATAACGGACTGATAGCACTACTTCAACTCCGACTGAACACGTAGGTAGTAGCATCAACGTATAAATAAATATACTAGGTGACAATATTGTCCTGGACCTCCTGTGGATGTAATATTGCTGGTCTATTTAGAGATAAACCCGCTCTCCTATTTTAAATGTCAATCGCCTTAGAATTATGTCCGCAAGTATTAGACGTCAAGTTAAATGACATTCTCCTTGCAATGTGGACTCCTGGGCATGGCTGATATGTCATGTAATCTAGACAGGAGAATTGTGAAGAAAGCAGCCCGCAATAAAGCCTTAACCCCTGAGGCCCCTAGTACATGTGTCCACTGAAAGTCAAAGTCATTTTAGTTTTGTCAATTAGTGCGTTCCAGCACTTCGGAGGAGTGTGTACTCTTGTTAATATCTCCCTGACAATGTTTATTTGCTTGCCCTTGACCCCGCCCGGGGCGTGTCAATGCTTTTTTGGCAGCAAGTTCTGCATTTGAGCACTTTTCAGTGTTTCAGAGCTTTGCAAGTTAATCGCTTTTTACATTTTTCTGGGGGAATTGTTTGGGCTGTTGCCCATTACAAAAGAGATTGGTGTATTGTTGCGGTCTGTTTGGATGTGGAGAATGGCCACCAGAGCAATGATATGAGTGGTTCTAGGATGCGGTCACCATTACCAATGTCATGCAGGCGAAACGTGCACATGAAAAGTTAAATCTGTCAGCCAGAACAGCTTGGTTGGATTTTGGAGCAACCTTCTGCTCTCATCAAATCATCAGACCCTGTTCCCTGTGCTCTGTGAGCACAGGAAAAACAGAGAGATTTCTTAATGCAAAAATTAGCAATGATTCCTCTCCAAGGTTCCACAATGACACGCGGATTAATCCCCCCCTCTCTCCTCTGCCCCTCACTCCCCTCTCATGTGATCAGGGCTCACATAAAATAAAATAAACAACTCTGGGTGTATGTCACCTTGTGTCAAGTGATTTATTATAACAATATGGAGATGGGGAAGAAATACAATCTATTAATTGATTCTCAACATATTGAGGATAGTTACTCTAGGATTTCAATACAAACCCATATTTCAGTTGTGTAATTGTTCATATTGATAATAATTTGAGGGATATTGCCTCCGTCCTCCCCTGGCGTGTGTGTGCATGTGCGTCTGTCTGTCTGTATGTGTGCGTGTGTCTGTCTGTCTGTCTGTCTGTCTGTGTGCATGTGTCTTCTTGTGCTCCTGCAGGAGATCTCAGACCAGGACGTCCAGGACCTGGTTATGAAGTCTATCGGACGTCTGACTCTGATCAGACAGACCTTCCCCCTGCACCAGAACACCAGCCAGCGCTGCGTCAAGCACAACCACCGCATCAACACCTCCCTCTGCGACACCAAAGACCCCAAGGCTCAGACACTGGAGGTAACACACACACCAAAGCTGTGTACCAAATGGCACCCTAGTCCTTATATAGTGCACTACCTTTGACCAGAGCCCTATCAAAAGTAGTGCACTACATAGGGAATAGGGCATCCGCCCACTTTGCCGCCTCCCCTTCCCCCAGTCACACATTCTAATTATCTTATAGCTGTTAATGGCACCAACGTTGTCGCCCTGCGCCCTGAGGCTTGTGTTCTCCTCCCAACATCCTAATTAATTTTTGGGAAAGTGGGCCCATGTTTTGTTTGTATCAAACATCATAATTCATCGCAATATTATCATGGAAATGTGGCATGTCATTTCTCTGTTGTTATTTATTTTTTGAAATGTGTCCCGGGGCAGCAATATGTGTATATAATCATTTTTGTGCCCTATAATCTTACTGTATGTTCTACGTGTCAAACCACAATATGAAATGTAATTAATATTCCGTTGATTTATGTGTGTATGTAGAGAAGCCTAGAGGGATAGATCTTGTGAAACTTAAAATGTAACTTGCATTGACAGGTCAGTGAAGGGACTGAATGATGGTGTTACAGTGACAGAGATGGACAGCTTGTATGAAATGTTGAGAGACACTGTTCTTAGTCCAGTGAATGACAGATTCAGGGAGGTACACATTGTGCCCATTGCTTCAGGTTATATCAGTGACACATAGAGACTGTGCTTAGTAAGACACATAGATTTTGTTCAGTAAAAGACTGACAGATCAGACAGACAGACCGATAAACCTTTCATACAGAAAGGCAGGCAGGAAGGCAGGCAGGCAGGCAGGCTTGCTGGCTGACACAGACAAACAGACAAGCAGGCAGACTTGCAGACAGACAGACAGTGTTGAGTGTGCTGAGGGGACAGACAGAGAGCAGGGGCAGTCAGTGGAGGACAGTGTGTGCCTGGTGCAGTTAGGCCTGTTTTGTCTGTCAGTGTGGAGCCAGAGCAGCTCAGCGGTCAGGAGAGTGGCCCAGAAGAAGCCCAATTTCACACTGCGCTGGAGCACATCATCTGGGTTTGCCTGACCACACTTTCTCCCCCCCTCACACACACACGCGCACACAGTCTTGTATAACTAACCTTGTGGGGACACACAATTCAGTCCCATTCAAAATCCTATTTTCAAAATCCTAACCCTAAAACGAACCCTTATTCTAACCTTAACCCTAACCTAAACCTTAAAACCTAACCTTAACCCTAACCCTAAACCTAACCCTAGCTCCTAACCCTAACCCTAAAACTAACCCTAGCTCCTAACCCTAAACCTAATTCTAACCCTAACACTAATTCTAACCTTAACCCTAAACACCCTAGAAATAGCATTTGACCTTATGGGGACTAACAAAATCCCAGTTGGTCCAATTTTCGTTTGTTTACTATTCTTGTGGGGACTTCTGGTGCACGCACACACTCCCTGCCCTCTCCTGGATTGCAGCGCTCAGTGATCACCCAGCCTCTCACAGGAGCCAATCTCAGCAGGCAAGCCACTGCCACTCCTCACGCTCCCAGGATTTACATGACCACCAGATGTTGCCCTTTAACCCAGCTTTGTTGTCAGCCCCCACCCTCCCCCTAAACCTCCCACCCACCACCACCACATAGATACCTCCCCAGCACGCACGCACGCACACACACACACACACACACACACACACACACACACACACACACAAACACACACACACACACACACACACACACACTCTCAATAGCTGTTTAGCTCCAGTGCATCCACTCGGGCATTCCAGCTACCCAGGCCAAACCAACCCTCCATCGCCCCTCTCACTCTACAAACCATTCATTTCACACAAGTCAAAGGCTTATTTTTCTTGCTGTGGCTGAAAAACACAGACGCCCAGGAATAACAACAGTGTTTCTTCAGAGTCAAGAGGATTCACCGTCATGCTGTTTTTCTCTCATCGGGTTGTTGCTCTTTTTATTCTGTCTGTGGATCGGTCCCTGTGGAGCAGTTAGGGCACTGGGAACTTTGTCATTTTCCAAATACATAGTGCTCAGACAGTTCATGTTGGGCATTTTTTGGAGCATTTACCTTAAAGCTGAAAAGTAATAATAATTGTCGCAACCCAGTACAAACACATCCTGATCCCTCATTACTAGTGTTTTTGCTTTGGAATGGCGAGAACAGAAAAGAAAAACACACGCTTACAGAGCTCCAGCCATTTTGTACGAGTCATTTTGTGTGTTTTCATCTAGCGTCCCACTCAATGTAATTGGTATTGTCTCAGATAGTCTGAGTCTGTTCCATGTGTGTGTGTGCGCAAGTGCATGTGTCTGTGTGTGCGCGTGCGTATGTGCACAATTGTGCCTACGTGTGTGGGATGAATGGAACTAAAGCACCATCCATTTACACTGCATAGTAGTGCCACGCTTAACGTTCTGTAGCCATGCATCCACCATGCATAGGTTTAAATGATCTGAACATTTTCTCTGTGAATATCCGCAGCATTTAAACCATTATTCCTAATCATTATTATTGTTATTATTAATGATGTGGTTGGAAGCAACAGCACAATCACCCAGCATACTAAAACAGGAGTTGTGTTTTGCATGGGAGCCTGTTTGCATCCCAAATGGCATCCTTTTCCCTATAAAGTGCACTACTTTTGACCTGGGCCCATAGGGGAACCCATTGGGCTCTGGTCAAAAGTACAGGTAACTGCCAAAATAAAGGAAACAGCAACATAAATTGTCTTAATAGGGCGATGGGCCACCACAAGCCAGAACAGCTTCAATGCACCTTGGCATAGATTCTACTAGTGTCTGGAACTCTATTGGAGGGATGTGACACCATACTTCCACAATAAATTATTTGTTGATGTTGGTGGAAAACGCTGTCTCAGGTGCCGCCCTAGAATCTCCCATTAGTGTTTCATTGAGTTGAGACCAGACGGCCATGGCATATCGTTTTCATGCTCATGAACCCATTCTGTGACCACTCATGCCCTGTGGATGGGGACATTGTCATCATATGGGGACAAGCCATGGTAGCCAAAATAATGGCCTCCCAGCATTTTTATACATGACCCTAAGCATGATGTTATGTTAATTGCTTAATTAACTCCGGAACCACACCTGTGTGGAAGCACCTGCTGAATATATACTTTGTATCCCTCATTTACTCAAGTGTTTCCTTTATTTGGGCTGTTACCTGTAGTGCACTATGTATAGAATAGGGTGCCATTTGGGTTGCAGAACCTGTCATAGCGCTGATGCATTGTTGACCTTTCTCGGCTGGAAAAGCCTATGTCAGGGAGATGCCACGCTCGTTCCTCATTCCCAGTGGGCGCTGGAACGCGGCACTCGATATTGTGTCAAGTGTGCCTGAGCGTTGTAGGTTGAATAAACGACGGCAAATCTAAATGGCCACTCTCTACTCTATTTATTACATTCTCATTAAAACGGAGACAACACTCCTGCTAAATCACAGCGCGATCAATCAGGGCCCGAATTTACTCCCCTCTCTCTGTCTCTCCACATGCATCTTGGTGTGTGCCAAATAGCATCCTATTCCCTAGTGCACTACTTTTGACCAGGGCCCTCGAAAGTAGTGCACTATATAGGGAATAGGGTGTCATCATTCTTACCCCTTAAAAGGATGCATGTGGTGCGATTTGTGTTGTGGAGCTTTTAAAGGCTGAACTTAGACAAAGCCGCTGAGAAATGTTAAAGCTGCTTGAATCATTCTAGGGCCTTTTCCCTTTACCAGGAACCGGGAGCAGCCTGGATGTGTAATGCAAACAGTAGTTAGAGGGGCTGTTTTACCGAGGACATCAGAGATGTAGCTACAAATGACAGGTGTTAGGTGTTGCTTCTTTACTGATGATCAAAGAACTGTTGAAATGATGCGAGCGCGCGCATACATTTTCTATTCAAATGATGCCAGCCGAGGCTGCCTGCTCCTTATGATCACGGCATGTTTCACTGCCAGCCGTCACAGCAGCTTTCAGAAGGGTGCGGAGCTTACTTAGGCTGCATCCCAAATTGCACTCTACTCCCTATATAGTGCACTACTTTTGACCAGGGCTCATAGGGCTCTGGTCAAAGGTAGTGCACTTTACAGGGAATAGGGTGTCATTTGAAACATAGCCTTTGGGTTTCTACACCGAGGAACATGAATATACACATAATCTTGGTTCACTTACTGCAATACCACTAGAAAAGTCTGCTGTGAATCTCTCTTTCCAGTTCCCCTTTTTCTTTTGTCTCACCGCTAAGGTTTCCTTCTCCCCTCTGACTATCTTACCCCTTTTCTTTTGTTCCACTGTTAATAACTTCTCCCTCCTTTTCCGGTCAGTTTTTTCCCTTTCTTCCTCTTTCTCTCGTTAATGTTTTGTCTCACCCTGCTCTTCTTCTGCGTCCTCCCTCTCTCCCGCTCTGCTGTTGCAAGATAACCAACCGCTACATCTACGACACGGTGCTGCTATTGGCCAACACCTTTCACAGGAAACTGGAGGACAGGAAGTGGCACAGCATGGCCAGCCTCACCTGCATCCGCAAGAACTCCAAGCCCTGGCAGGGAGGGCGCCCCATGCTAGACAACGTCAAAAAGGTATTGGTCCATATAGGGCAGGTCAATTCAAAACCTGGACTGATTTATACCTGGGACACCAGGTGGGTGCAATTACTTATCAGGTAGAACAGAAAACCAGCAGGACTCCGGACCTTCAGGCTCGGATAGGGGTATACTTAGGGACAGGCGTTTTTCTTGAATATAACGACGGCTGTCAGGTCACGGCGAGGTCATGACAAACGCCTAGTTCGGATTTATTCTGTATTCATCATATTATGCACATCCATAGGATACACATCCTCTGTAGCTCAGCTGGTAGAGCACGGCGCTTGTAACGCCAAGGTAGTGGGTTCGATCCCCGGGACCACCCATACACAAAAAAAAAAAAAAAAAAAAAAAAAATAACTTTATGCACGCATGACTGTAAGTCGCTTTGGATAAAAGCGTCTGCTAAATGGCATATTATTATTATATTTATTAAATATATGTATGAGATTGTATTTGCATATCCTGTATAATGCTTGGAGCGAGGGATGGAAAATGTTGTTCACAATATGATAGGAATGATGATAAATCTGTGTAAAGAATATGTCAAGCAAGAGTGGCATGGACTTTGTCCCAAATTACACCCTATTCCCTATGTAGCCCTATGGGTCATAGTCAAAAGTAGTGCACTACATAGGGAATAGGGTGCCATTTGGGACACACATATGTTCAGCTGTTTTCAGCTGTTTTCTGTTATTACATTACCTGTCAAGGTGCTATGCTGCTGTAGATCATATGCACACCACATTATGTGAAAGACAAGTGATTCTATTGACAGACAAGGGATAGCCCTTCAATGGCGGAACTCATCCCTTCTGTCTCCACTTTTCTCTCAGAGGAGACCTTTTAAATGGATAGGGAGATATGGACACTGTCTGGGGCATTGAAAAACACCCTGTTGGGGTTGTTGTTGCCGTGTTGAGGCGACATTGTGCTCTGCATAGCTACTGTGTTGGCGTAGGAGGCTAGGATGTGATGTTATCACCTTCTCCATCCCTGTGGCCTTTGCCCCTGGGGGGTGGACTGTACCTGTCGCCATGTGTCTGCACACACACATGGGCTTGTACGCGCACACACGCACGCACGCATGCACGTACCCCCACACACACAGTACACGCACTCACACAAACACAAACACACACACAAACAGTGGCGTCCTCACACCCTGCCCTCTGCCATGTGCTGCGTGAGCGTTCAGTGAAAGCGACACTGGCCCTGCTGTAGGGAAGGTGAGCCTGCAAAAGCCACGTCCCATTGATTCAGTCCCTCTCCAACCAGCCCTGGGACTCTGCGTGTGTGTGAGGTGTTCTTTCCTCCTGTTTTTAATGGTAATAACTGCGTATAGGTGACGTTAATGTGGCGTGAACCTTGTTATTTTACTGTAAGCCAACGATGTAATGGGCCAATGTTTCATTCCCTAGGGTGTCCTCACTGGATCACTGTTCTACAGCTTCATTAGGGGAACTGGCTGTTTATTGGCTTTTCAATGTGTGCGTTAAGGTGAACTCGCCCGGATACTGCTCATCAGCTCTCATAATTGGCCGGCTAATTATTCCTGTCAGCTCGGTATTGGTGCAATACATTCACAACACTTATCTTTGTGTTAATTGCACCTCCTGTGTAATTGCACCTGCTGTAGAGGACGATATAACAGACAGGTGGTAAAGAGAGAGTGTGGGGGGGGGGGGTGTTGAGGAGGGTCTCTGCACTCATTTGTGATGTTGGAGAGATGAAAGGCTATGTATGGTGTGACACTTTGTTTGTGGCAGCCAAGGCCCTCTCTGGTGAAAGGGGTTTGTAAGCCAGCTTTCGTTTAGCAAAAGAGGCCCCAATAAGAGTTGACTAACAACAGACAATTATTATCATTATGATAATGTAATGGGTCGCATGCAGATGAATAAATCTGTTTCCCAACGTGGGCGGACTCGTTGTTGCTCGGGGCTGTCACGTTCTCGAACACAGCGCCGCAGACTGTCCTCAGTGCAGGTGCACTGCAGGCTGAATGATGAAAGGGGCGCGAGGGGAGCGAGACAGAGGATTTGTTGATTCATGACCTCTGCACACATCAATGGAAATATCAAAGCGAGAGGGATTCTCTTCAGAAATCCCCACGCTTACCAACCAGGTCATCACTTCTCAGTGTCTAGGCTGGAGGATTGATGATGTCTTACTACTTATCTATCACCTATTTCTTCCATTGGGCTCGTGAAATAGCAGATATAATTATCCAGTGTGACAAGAGACCTTTTATATGAGACATTTTAAACGTTTTATAACTTTTTCATAGACTACATTCATTGCAGTGTGTTTGACCTCACTAATCATGTGTACGGTGTCCATATTAGGATAGACTCAGTCTCATCAGGACTTGTTTCGATCTCAACAGTACTAAGTGCTTTGTCCATTTTGACAGCACTCTGACTTTGTGTCTGTCCCCTACAGTCTGGAGTGAGTGGTCTGACCGGCTTCCTGGAGTTTACCGACAACGGAACCAACCCCAACATCTACTTTGAGATCCTGGGGACCAATTATGGCGAGGACAGGGGGAGGGGTGTCATCAAGGTAAGATATCAAAACATTGTTGTTGATTTTGTTGTTGTTGGCTATTCGACACAGCGTGGCACTTGATGTGCACTTGTTGTTCCCGCTGGGGCCAGCCATACAGAAATGTATGCATGCATTTGGATAAAAGCGTCTGCCAAATGGCATATATTATATTATATCATTATGTTTATGTGGTGCTCTTCAGCTCTGTGTATTGTCATTGAGGCTCATTATCATTTAAAAAGCAGACTGTACATCTATTCAAAACAGACTTATACAGTAGAGTCATATTCATGAATATAAAGAAAGGTTTTGGTCACGTTGCCAAGATGCACAAAAATAGTCATTATAAAAGCAAATGTACATGATGAACACCCATGAATGTTAATGTATTATGGCCAAATCGGATGGGCTTTATAAGGTGCTAGTGTACATCTTTTAACGTGTTACCCAGAGAACTATACATACAGTATGTCTATTTTCTCCGTTCTTCTCATATATGTATAGCGGCAGGTTACACCTTAGCTCATTAAAGCTCACCTCTATCCTTCAGGTGTGGACACTAATTATGTTAATTTACAGAATGATGAGGTTTGAATAGATAATCATAGCTGCTCAATGGAATTTCGAACAGCCGCCCTCAGTGAATGAGGCAGCACATCAACAGACGTTGTTTATCTTCCACTGTGCTGTTTATTTATCTAATTTAGGTTCTAGTGCAGCAGCCCAGCCGCGGTTGAAGAATAGTAGCACAAGACCCGATTCCCTGAGCATCACCATGCGCGATAATTCATCTATTCTTTCCCCTCATTTTCTGTTAATTACCGTATTCATATATTCCTGTATTTACTCACTCAAATATCAGTTGCTATCGTTCTGTTCCGTCTGTGGCCCAAATACGGATCAATTACCGGTAACCACGGTGGCAAAGACGTTGTAGAGATGTCCGGGAGATGGATTGGCTTTGGCGGTTTCAGGGAACATAGCGTCACAGAGAGACAATGTGTTCCTCTCAGATAAACAAAGGTGTTGACTCACCCTGGTCGGTCCCATAACTCCGGGTGAGTGAGCGAGGAACACAAACACAGCCGATATCCTGACCAGGAAGTCTTAATCTGGCACTACCACTCACCTAAATGGTAAACACAGCCGTGCCGTGGCAGAGACTTCATGTCACGTTATGCAGTCGGTGCCTCAGATGTAAAACACAGAAGAGATGTATTCTTTTTTTTAAATAACATTTTATTGAGATAGAAAGTCACAAATTAGAGGGGGACAGATAGGTAGAGGAATAGAGATATGAAGGCGCAGGCGGGGTTTAAACCCATGCCACTAGGGGGAATGTATGGTCCAGTGTCGGCAGCGCTTGTACTAGACCAGACTCCCGCACACAGAAGAGATGTATTTCTATAATTGCAGGTTGGTGGAGTGGTGGTAGTTGTAGTCTCAACAGTTGTAGTATCAGATATACAGTACCAGTCAAAAGTTTGGACATTCTACATTGTAGAATAATAGTGAAGATATCAAAACTATGAAATAACACATATGGAATCATGTAGTAACCAAAAAAGTGTTAAACAAATCAACATATATTTTATATTTGAGATTCTTCAAAGTAGCCACCCTTTGCCTTGATGACAGCTTTGTACGCTCTTTGCATTCTCTCAACCAGCTTCATGAGGTAGTCACCTGGAATGCATTTCAATTAACAGTTGTGCCTTCTTAAAAGTTAATGTGTGGAATTTCTTTCCTTCTTAATGCATTTGAGCCAATCAGTTGTGTTGTGACAAGGTAGGGGTGGTATACAGAACATAGCCCTAGTTGGTAAAAGACCAAGTCCATATTATGACAAGAACAGCTCATGGGGTGGAACACAATTGGCCCAGCGTCTTCCAGGGTAGGGGAGGGAATGGCCGACAGGGATGTAGCTCAGTTGGTAGAGCATGGCGTTTGCAATGCCAGGGTTGTGGGTTCGATTCCCACGCGGGGTAAGAAAAAATAAAATAATGTATGCACTCACTAACTGTAAGTCGCTCTGGATAAGAGCGTCTGCTAAATGACTAAAATCTAAAGGACACCAATAAGAAGAAGGGACTTGCTTGGGCCAAGAAACACGAGCAATGGGCATTAGACTGGTGGAAATGTGTCCTTTGGTCTGGAGTCCAAATTTGAGATTTTTGGTTCCAACCTCCGTGTCTTTGTGAGACGCGGTGTGGGTGAATGGATGATCTCCGAATGTGTATTTCCCACCGTAATGCATGGAGGAGGAGGTATTATGGTGTGGGGGTTCTGTCTGTGATTCATTTAGAGTTCAAGGCACACTTAACCTGCATGGCTACCACAGTATTCTGCAGCGATCCGCCATCCCATCTGGTTTGTGCTTAGTGGGACTATCATTTGTTTCCAACAGGACAAAGACCCAACACACCTCCAGGCTGTGTAAGGGCTATTTGACCACAAAGGAGAGTGATAAAGTGGTGCATCAGATTACCTGGCCTCCACATTCACCCGACCTCAACCCAATTGAGATGGTTTGGGATGAGTTGGACTGCAGAGTGAAGGAAAAGCAGCCAACAAGTGCTCAGCATATGTGGGAACTCCTTCAAGACTGTTGGAAAAGCATTCCAGGTGAAGCGGGTTGAGAGAATGCTAAGACTGTGCAAAGCTGTCATCAAGGCAAAAGGTGGCTACTTTGAAGAATCTAAAATCTAAAATATATTTGGATTTGTTTAACACTTTTTTGGTTACTACATGATTCCATATTTGTTATTTCATAGTGTTGATGTCTTCACTATTATTCTACAATGTAGAAAATAGTAAAAATAAAGAAAAACCCTTGAATGTGTAGGTGTGTCCAAACTTTTGACTGGTACTGTACATGAAAACATGAAATGACCCTGGGAATTGGTAGAACATCGCTCAGAGATGCACAAATACAATATAACATAACAAATGGGTGAATCTTTACTTTAAGAGATGCATCCCAAATGCACCCTATCCCCTATATAGTGCGCTACATTTGACTATTTGGGACACATGTGGACCTCCCTGAGTACCTTGGCTTACACTGGTTGTCACACTGCAGACAAATGAAGCCCAAAGGTTCACTCAGCCTGTTTGGATGAACACTTGGGGTCACTGTCCTTGAGGCTCCATGTGGGAGAGAGGTGTGTGGCTTTTCTCTCACCAACTACAATACATATTCATTCACACACACCATGCATGCACACACTCGCCCGCGCGCACACACACACCCTTGACGAATCACAAACTCCACTTCCAGAGGGGCCGCTGTAGGTTACAAATGAGATTGCCAGATCTCGTTAGAGATAATGGCCTGAGACACAAACATAACGCACCATGCTTCCAAAGATTCAATTAATCTTTAAGTAAAAAGTAATTACATTAAGTCTGATTCCTTAATCAGAGAATATAATTACTTTTGAGGGAATTAAATACACTGAACAAAAATATAAATGCAACAATTTCAAAGATTTTATATTTTAGTCATTTAGCAGACGCTCTTATGCAGAGCAACTTACAGTTTGTTAGTGCATACATTTTCATACTGGCCCCCCGTGGGAAACGAACCCACAACCTTGGTATTGCAAGTGCCTTGCTCTACCAACTGAGTTACAGTTCATATAACGAAATCAATCAATTGAAATAAGTTCATTAGGCCCTAATCTTTGGATTTCACATGACTGGGAATACAGATATGCATCTGTTGGTCACAGATACCTTTAAAAAAATGGTAGGGGCTTGGATCAGAAAACCAGTCAGTATCTGGTGTGACCACCATTTATCTCATGTAGCGTGACACATCTCCTTTGCATAGAGTTGATCATTCTGATGATTGTGGCCTGTGGAATGTTGTCTCACTCCTCTTCAATGGCTTTGTGAAGTTGCTGTTTTTTGTCGGGAACTGGAACACGCTGTCGTACACATCGATCCAGAGTATCCCAAAAGTATATTTTATTTCAGCATATGAAACGTGGGTCCAACACTTTACATGTTGCGTTTATATTTTTGTTCAGTATACTTGTTACACTGCTACTGTAACCTCATAAGCACTGTATGTACCAAAACATCTGATTAGGGAAAGCATGAGTTGTTGCGTCGTCTACTGAATATTTGACATTTGGCATTTGTGAAGGATCAGTTGAAAAGAGCAGAGAGTAAGAGTTGCAGGTCATCGTACTGCAATCTGCAGTTCAAGCAACAACAAAGCAGACACTGCACCACTGTGTTGGTAAACAGCTGAGGGATGGGGCTGGAGAAATGTAACCACTGTTGAATTCACAGATCAAAATGATACTTTTAAACATGTTCTAAGGCTATCGCAGATTGCCCATTTAACCTAGCTATGCCCCTTACTCAAAAATAATAATAATATGCCATTTAGCAGACGCTTTTATCCAAAGCGACTTACAGTCGTGCGTGCATAATTTTTTTTGTGTATGGGTGGTCCCGGGGATCGAACCCACTACCTTGGCGTTACAAGCGCCGTGCTCTACCAGCTGAGCTACAGAGGACCAAAAGCACTCAGCTAACCCATTCTTCAACAAAATAACAAACTGCAGTTATTCATGTGTTGGCTCCATAGATAACTCATTACATGTGGTCATTTTTATGTATAAGGCACACTGTATGTTCCTATCAATGTACTTTGTTCAGGTTGGTATGACCTGTACTGTGTGTGGGTGAATGTAACCAACACCTGAATGATTTTGGTACATTACTTTTTTATTTTGAGTGAGTATCTATGAGATCCAGATATAAAGAAAGATAAGAAGACAAAGCGAACTGTCTTTCTTTACATTTAAAACTCCTACGCTTTATTGAAGTTGCTTTAAGTCACAGGTGCCAATGTGTTTCACCTGTTTGATTGAGTAAACTGGCCCGAGGTTCCCTTAAGGTTGAAGTCTCCATTTATTTGACATTTATACAACGGGTGGGTCTAATCCTGAATGCTGATTGGTTAAAACCGCATTCCAGCCGGTGTCTATTCCACAAGT